CTTTCTACTACACCTTTTCCAACCAGTATTCTCTACCGATCACTCTTTGAAAAAGATTGAAAAAAAGAATAGAAGTATGAAGTATGAAAATCTCTCTTTCTTTCTCACTTTGAAAGAAGAAAAAAAAAGAGAACGCGTAGTTCCCAAATCGGGGATATGAACGTCGTGATCTCTCCTTGTTAGTAAATAAATATTTTATCATATTTATATATAATCATATGTATAGAAATAAATATAGAAATAAATACCTATAGTAATCGAAAAATTAAAAATTACTTAGATAAAAATATTTGTAGAATTCTCTGAAGCCCCTCTCTCTCGATTAAACTAGTTATATTTATTTAAATTGTTCTCTAGCTGTTTTTTTAAATCATTAATCGAGAAAAGAATTGTTCTGTCGAATCAATGTTACGAATCTGAATTAATTCTAAGCGTAGGAAGCGGACGTCCGGACTTTTATCGTATACACATAATAGGCAACCCAAGAGACCAATCGCAATCCAGAGATTCGAATTTCACTGGACAGGTGATTGGCTCTATTGTAAAGCGGCAAGTGAAAAAATGAAAACGTCACTGCAGGCGAGAACCATTGTGTAACTGGCGAAATAACGGTGGGACGCTTAATTGGCACTCCGATAAATTGTGACGGTGAGATCATGATCAGGGCCGTTACATGTATGAGAGCTCTCGTACCCACGCATGAAACTGGGCGGCTTAGGGCCGATTTCACAGTCTTCGATTAACTTGATCCTCCGATTAAACTCACTCTTCATCTCTTTCTAACTGCCCCCCTTATGTTTATTTACTAATGTAAATTAACTTTAATCTCATTTTAATTTACTTTTTATCTCCCTTTAATTCTAAGAATTAAAAAGAGATAAAACGTAACTTAAACCGAGATTAAAGTTAATTTACATTGATAGAAATAAACATTAGAAAGAGGCAAAGAGTGAGTTTAATCGGAGACGGTGAAATCGGCCCTTACAAATGTAATGTAACAAGCGCCAGTGTTTCTCTATGTCTCGTTCCTGCCTTCTAGTTTTTTATACACACGCTTCCACAAGAAGATTCTCGCACATTGACGAAGAGCGGAAATTCGAGCTAACGAAGACTAAATGGACTACTTTTTTTTAGAGCAGACTGATGTGGACAAATTTAATAGCTTCTGCTATATAATTTTATTTTCAATCAATCCTAAAAGATCGAAAGAATTAATTAATTATTTGATTCACGTAAACTTTACATAAATAATTTTCCAAATTGTTTTTACATATTTCTTCATTTGTATACTATTATTACTTTTTAAAATTCTTGAGATAGCTAGAATTAAAAATTTTAATAAATTTGTTAAAAAATTTACCTAAAAATATGATTTTTGTATATATTAAATTTTGGATATTGAATATTTCTCTTCTTATTAAAATTATGTATAACATATAAATAAGGCACACACACGCGAACGCGCGCGTACACACACACACACGCACAATATTCCCGATTTAAATGTTTATTTAAAAGTGTTTGCAATTGTTTGAATCTCTCGTTTTACGTGTTGGATAAAGTGAATATTCTAACTCAATGTTTATTTCCAAAAATCTAAAAGAAATAGAAATAGAAATAGAAAAAGAAATAATTTACAATACTTGATCTATTAATATTTCTAATCATATAGAAACATCGATTTATCTTTAACAAAAAAGAAAATATTTTAATACTTTATATTTATAATTTTTTTCTACATAATAATCTCTTTCTAAAAAACAAGTCAAAATTCTAAGTTTTCCATTTTACCTTCAGATAATAAAATGGATCTCGAAGAGGACTCACTGCAGGAGCGCCTGTTAAATGTCTGCGAGTCTACTTCAAACAGCGCGCAAATACTTTACAAGCTACTGTTGGATGCCTTACGGTCCAAGAACTTCCGTTCTTTCAAAAATATCATAGAACATGATTCGAAGAGGCGGTCATCCATTCTAAACGTCAACTATGTATATCCAAACACGGAAGAAACGTGCCTAGACATAGCTAGTAAAAATGGTCTGACGGAGTTTGTAGAGTTTTTATTGCTTCAAGGTGCGAAACCCAACAGGGTGAATGAAGCGCACAATCGCGCCCCTATTCATTTCGCCACTGAAGGCGGCCACGTGGACACATTGTTGGCTTTGCTAGCGGAGCCGACGATAAATCCGAATATCGAGGCGGGACAGCAGACTGCCTTGCACATCGCGGTGAGAAAAAATGACCTGACATGCGCCGGTCTGCTGCTGGAGAACGGTGCCAGCGCAAGCATTCCAAACAGCAAGGGCTTGACGGCCCTTCACTTGGCGGCGATGAAAGGCCAGCGCGAAATGGTGGAACTGATACTAGAGAAAAGCCGACAGTGTCCGGACGTCGACACTTACAAAGATTACAATGACCAGACGACGCGAGAGGTGATTCAGCAGAGGCTGCCGGATATATCGTTGCCGCCCGAATGTGAAAACCGCGAGGTAAATGTGCACGATCTTAAGTACTACTTGATCGCCAACGACGAGACGAACTTTCTGAAAAGCATGGAGCTAGTCAAGACAGAGGTTCTTCACAGTGTGGACGAAGAGCTGTTGGAGATGATTGCGCAACGAGGTTTTCACAAAGCTGCGATTGAAATCTTGAAAAAACTTGAAGGAAGACAGTTCAGCGTAAAGAAAGCCGCGCAAGCGGCCGTTCAGCAGAGCGATCACGCTATTCTTCAGGCGCTGCTGAAAGTGGAACCAAACGTGGCCAACGACCTGATTCTGAGCGCCTGTCTGGAACTGGGAATGCCGGGAAAACGAGGAGCCGACAATACACCTGATCGGCTGAAGTGTCTGAAGCTGATCCTGGAAGAAGAAAACGTGAATGTTCGTTGCAGCGACAGTAAGTATATTTATATCAATATGACAAATAATGGAACAAATGACACTTTCTAAATAACGGACAGATATCGAAATTATGTTCCGTTCTTCCAGACGTCTTCTTGCAAGCTTTTTACAATTTTTTTTTTATTACGACACCTGTTTTACAGATAAAGGCAACACTCCACTACATTACGCCGCCAGCGCTGGCTGTCGAGAAGCGGTGACTTTACTTCTCAACCGAGGCAGCTACATCGGTCACATGAACAAGTTCAACGTACCGCCCATCGCGGATATCTCAGCGCACACGCTGTCGCGCTACTTCGACGACTGTTTGCAGACGCGGAGAGATCGGGCGAACGAGTACGCGATTGAATTTAACTATCGCTGCTTGATGCCGCACGACGACTTTCCGGAACGTGACAATGCTTACCGAGCGCCTCGCGAAATGGAAGTGTTCAAGTACATCGCCGGCAACGGCGGTCTCAAACACCTGCTGAAACATCCGTTGCTCTCTTCTTTCCTCTATCTCAAATGGCACAGAATACGGCACGTTTTATACGCAAATTTCGCTTTTTACGTGATTTTTTATTTGGTGTTGAACGCTTACATCCTCAGCATGACTTACGACACTCAGATAGAAAATAGAACGCAAATTGATAACGACACGACTGATAGGCCTTTGGCAAGTACGTTGCGTATTGTCTGGTACCAGAACAACTCTCTACGGGCCTTCACCACAGTGATGTTGTTGCTCTTCATCCTCCGAGAGGTTCTCCAATTCGTCTCTTGCATTAGGAGTTACCTGACAAGTTTGAGAAACTGGCTAGAAGTCGCGTTGATCACGCTCACTATCGCCTTGCTGTGCGGCGCCGGAATTCAAGTCGGCGCCGTGGTGATCCTGCTGTCGGCCTGGGAGCTGGTGATCCTGATCAGCCAGCATCCGCGCTTGTCCACCGGCATCGAGATGTTCCGGACCGTTTCTTTCAATTTTATGCGCTTTTTATTTCCCTACCTGTTTCTCATTCTCGCGTTCGCTCTGGCATTCTACACGCTCTTCAAAAACGGCAACGACACAAATTTTCCCGATCCCGGTCTCTCGCTTTTCAAAACTGTCATCATGCTCACTGGCGAGTTCGATGCCAGTGACATTCCGTTCATTTCACATCCCATTTGGAGCCACATTGTATTTATGCTGTTTGTTTTCTTCATCGCTATTGTGTTGTTCAATCTGCTTAATGGCTTGGCGGTCAGCGACACCGCTGAGATTCTATCTAAAGCCGAGTTGGTCGGTCTTATTTCTCGAATACGTTTGATCACCTATATTGAACATGTGGCGGTTGGCGAGCCTTTCAGGCATTGCTCTTGTTGTAATTCGCGATTGACGCGGTGGAACCCTTTCGGCTTCCTCGCTAAGAGAATTCTTATGTTTCCTTATTTCCTGAGGGACGGTAAGATTAGTGTCAAGCCATGCGATAGCCTGGACGCTTATGATAACGATAGATATTACGAGAAATACGTTCGCAGTGAATCTATAAAGCGCGACAAACAGTGGATCACCTTGAAAATGGATCCTGACATAATTAAACAAGCAAAACGTATTATTTATAATAAAAATCAATTGACGGATAATGAGAGAACCATAATTATGTTAAAGAAACTGCAGGAGAAATTGACGGCGATGGAGATAACTTTGAATACTATAAAGTTTACAGTTGAAAATAATATTATCGATAATACGATGGGATTTGTAAAAAAGAACTAATAAAAAGTAATAAAAAGTACAATTTATTCTATTTGAAACTTTTTGAACTCATATGATAACATATTTTTAAGTTTACATATGTATAGATTTTAATTTTATAAATCAAATTAAAATAATATTGTGTTAACTACTTATACTTTTTTTTATAATTGATATAACATAGCAAAATAACGTGTAAATATACTATGAAACTCATTGTCAGCAAACTCTTGAGCGAAGTAGTTTTCTTTTCTCTATAAATATTATATGTGCACGTGTGATAAATAAAAAAGTATATAAAATATACATGTAGGTGTATAATTAAGATATTAAAAATACATTTTTAAGATAATTGTTTTATTATTTATGTTTTGTAATTTATAATGTAATTAAATCTTTTGGCAATAATTACAAGTTGCTTTATTAAAAAAAAAAAATATTGCTTTTAATCAAATTTGTAATGATAAAACATAAAAATGCCACTAAATTTATTTATAAAGAACAATACAATTACTCCTATTTAATATTTAAATCTAACTGTTTTGATAAGAAAGGTAAAGCCTTAAGAAATTCATAGAATTCTTGGTAACTTAAATAGAAATTATTTCTTGTTATCCAATACATTGCTTTTAAAATGCAAACAAAGTTGAGTTTTTTCGGTTGCTCATACTTTGCTCATTGCAAAGAAAAAAGATTTATCATCACAATTTGGCATAATTTATAAAGTATTTTTCAACGTGACTTTTTTTGTAAAAAAAAAACTTTTCTGCTGAAAGTGAGATGTCTAATCACATATGTCATATTGGTCAATATGTATACCTCCCTGGTAACACAATCTGATAGCTCAGATACATCCCGAAGAAGTGCGCAAAAAAACAGTCCAAAATTGCGATAGAAGTGCATAATATCTGTGATTGAACATGTACTTACTGTACTATTGCAGCAGTCTGCTGTAAGAAGCTACTGTGAAATTTTATACTATTTAGTTCCTTACAGCAGACTGCGCTGCAAGACTACAGTAAGTACTCGTTTAATCACGGATATTATGCACTTCTGTCGCAATTTTGGACTATATTGTGTTACCAGGATATTATCCTAATCAGCAGATTAGACAGTGACATATATGTGGTACAAACAAGTTATTCTTATCTTTTCCCCTTCCAGTTTGAATTATCATACCTTATCATACATTCGACAGCAGCAGTCATCAGTCACGCAGTCGTCATTCGCGCAGTCTCACACATGACAAAATGTATTGCATTGGATTACCAATATGTGAAAATTTTTTCAACTCTTTATACATATATTAATTTAAAAAATGGATAAAAATATATAACGTAAATTTTTCGACAGTGATTTTGCGCCGAAAGAAATATTAATGTTATAAATTATACCCAGTAAACTTTATACTATACTGGAATTCTTGGCCGCTTACCGCAACTACGAAGAGATAAAAGGTAGGTAAGCTGTTTCTTTAAGTTAATTAAGTTAGTTTCTTTCTTTCTTCGTCTATAAGTAATTTCTGATTAGCCAATAATTTTTTTTAATCTTTTCAAACATTGGACTTTATTAACTTAACAAATTGTATTATAAGTATGAATATCATATATATTATACTAAGGCAAAGATACATTTAAACACATAATATCTTATATATACTTGCTTACGTGTAAGTTATCCGCGAATATTTCGGCAAGCCTCTTGATAGCTGAACCCTTAATTCATTCTAAAATAACTTTTTTTGGATTGTAAATGATTGATTAAGTCGTAAAAAATCAGTTTTCCTTCTTTCAACACTATAAATTTAATTTAAAATTATTAACTATAATAATTAATTTAATTTTTAATATTTCTAATTTGCATTCGCGGTTCTCAAAATAATTTAACATCTATGTTACACATCTTCAATATTTAATATTTCTATATTAATATTTATTTTTAAAAATCACAGTTTGTCACACACACAAAAGTTTCAATATTATAAGTTAAATTTTTTTCCAGACAACATAATAGACTTCAGAAACGAAGGTTCGTCAACTCACAGAAGATCTTCACCATCTCGAGGATTATCCACAACAGAGGAAAAAATTCCTCAGTCAAATATCTATTCTCCAATCAGTATGCAAGATGATTTTTACAAGCTTGAGTTGAACGCCGAACAATTTGAAGATTTCTCCTCTTTCAAAAATGCTGTCAAGGATAATTTGAAGAAGCATCCACCTCTTCAAAGTATCTACATTAATCCCACACATTTGAAAGAAACATGTCTCGACATAGCCAGTAAGAATGGCTTAACGGAGTTTGTGAATTTTCTGTTGCATAATGGCGCGAATCCCAATAAAATAAACGACGCGCAACATCGCGTTCCTATTCATTTCGCTACCGAAGGTGGACACGCAGACACGTTAGAAGCTTTATTAGAGCATCCAAAGATAAATCCGAATCTACAAATTGAAGGCCGAACTGCTTTGCACATCGCAGTGGAAAATACCGATCTGACGTGTGCCCGTCTGTTACTCGAAAGAGGGGCTAGTGCCAATATTCCCGATAACGAAGGTCGTACTGCTCTCCAGCTGGCAACGACGACGAACCAATGGGACATGGTAGCGTTGATAGTACAGAAGTGTACACAATTTCTGAGCCTGGACGAATATGAAGCAAACGGTGATCAAACGTTACGAGAAGTGATTCAACAGACCAGGCCGGAACTAGCATTACCATCGATACCTGAAGATACGGAAGAGGTACTCTTGCAAGATCTCAAGAACTACTTGAGCGTCAATGACGAGGAAAATTTTATGAAAAATATAATACTCCTCCGCAAAGAATTTCCTCACGAGATGGTCGAGGAGTTATTAAAAATAGCAGCAGAACGAGGTTTTCACAAAGCTGCGATTGGAATCTTGAAAAAATTTGAAGGAAGACAATTCAGCGTAAAGAAAGCCGCGCAAGCGGCCGTTGAGCAGAGCGATCACGTTATTCTACAGGCGCTGCTGAAAGTTGAACCAAACGCGGCCAACGACCTGATTCTGAGCGCCTGTCTGGAACTGGGATTGCCGGGAACACGAGGAGCCGATTATACACCTGATCGGCTGAAGTGTCTGGAACTGATACTGGAAAAAGAAAACGTGAATGTTCGTTGCAGCGACAGTAAGTATATTTATATCAATATTTATATCAAATAATGGAACAAATGACACTTTCTAAATAACGGACAGATATCGAAATTATGTTCCGTACTTTCAGACGACGTCTTCTCGCAAGCATAACAATTTTTTTTTATTACGACACTTACCTGTTTTACAGATGAAGGCAACACTCCGCTACATTATGCAGCCAGCGGTGGCTGTCAAGAAGCGGTGACTTTATTTCTCAACCGAGGCAGCTACATCGGTCATATGAACAAGTTCAACATACCGCCCATCGCGGATATCTCAGCACACACGCTGTCGCGCTACTTCGACGACTGTTTGCAGTGTTTGCAGACGCGGAGAGATCGGGCGAACGAGTACGCGATTGAATTTAACTATCGCTGCTTGATGCCACACGACAACTTTCCGGAACGTAACAATGCTTACCGAGCGACTCGCGAAATGGAAGTGTTCAAGTACATCGCCGGCAACGGCAGTCTCAAACACCTGCTGAAACATCCGCTGCTCTCTTCTTTCCTCTATCTCAAATGGCACAGAATACGGCACGTTTTATACGCAAATTTCGCTTTTTACATGATTTTTTATTTGGTGTTGAACGCTTACATCCTCAGCAAGACTTACGACACTCAGATAGAAAATAAAACGCAAATTGATAACGACACGACTGATAGGCCTTTGGCAAGTACGTTGCGTATTGTTTGGTGTCAGAACAACTCCCTACGGACCTTCACCACAGTGATGTTGTTGCTCTTCATCCTCCGAGAGGTTATCCAATTCGTCTCTTGCATTAGGAGTTATCTGACGAGTTTGAGAAACTGGCTAGAAGTCGCGTTGATCACGCTCACTATTGCCTTGCTGTGCGGCGCCGGAGTTCAAGTCGGTGCCGTGGTGATCCTGCTGTCGGCCTGGGAGCTGGTGATCCTGATCAGCCAGCATTCGCGCTTGTCCACCGGCATCGAGATGTTCCGGACCGTTTCTTTCAATTATATGCGCTTTTTAGTTCCTTACCTGTTTCTTATCCTCGCATTTGCTCTGGCATTCTACACGCTCTTCAAAGACGGCAACAATACAAAGTTTCCCGATCCCGGTCTCTCGCTTTTCAAAACTGTCATCATGCTCACTGGCGAGTTCGATGCCAGTAACATTCCGTTCATTTCACATTTTATTTGGAGCCACATTGTATTTATGCTGTTTGTTTTCTTCATCGCTATTGTGTTGTTCAATCTGCTTAATGGCTTGGCGGTCAGCGACACCGCTGAGATTCTGTCTAAAGCCGAGTTGGTCGGACTTATTTCTCGAATACGTTTGATCACCTATATTGAACATGTGGCGGTTGGCGAGCCTTTCAGGCATTGCTCTTGTTGTAATTCGCGATTGACGCGGTGGAACCCTTTCGGGTTCCTCGCTAAAAGAATTCTTATGTTTCCTTATTGCCTGAGGGACGGCAAGATCAGTGTCAAGCCATGCAATAGACTGGATGCTTATGATAACGATAGATATTACGAGAAATACGTTCGCAGTGAATCTGTAAAGCGCGACAAACAGTGGACCACCTTGAAAATGGATCCTGACATAATTAAACAAGCAAAACGTATTATTTATAATAAAAATCAATTGACGGATAATGAGAGAACTATGATTATGTTAAAGAAACTGCAGGAGAAATTGACGGCGATGGAGATAACTTTGAATACTTAGAATACTATAAAGTTTTGAAAATAATATTATCGATAATACGATGGGATTTGTAAAAAAGAACTAATAAAAAGTATTTCAATTTATTCTGCTATTTGAAACTTTTTGAACTCATATGATAACATTTTTTTAAGTCTACATATGTATAGATTTTGATTTTATAAATCAAATTAAAATAATATATATTGTTAACTACTTATACTCTCTTTTATGATTAATATAACATAGCAAAATAGCGTGTAAATAATATGCTATGAAACTCGATCATTGTCAGCAAACTCTTGAGCGAAGTAGTTTTCTTTTTTCTATAAATATTATATGTGCACGTGTGATAAATAAAAAAGTGTATAGAATATGTATATATAATTAATATATTAAAAATACATTTTTAAGATAATTGTTTTATTATTTCTGTTTTGTAATTTATAATGTAATTAAATCTTTTGGCAATAATCACAAGTTGCTTTATTTAAAAAAGAATACTGCTTTTAATCAAATTTTTAATGATAAAACATAAAAATGCCACTATTTATAAAAAACAATACAATTACTCATATTTAATAATTTAAGGTAAAGCCTTAAGAAATTCGTAGAATTCTTTGTAACTTAAATAGAAATTATTTCTTGACATCAATATATTGCTTTTAAAATGCAAACTCAAAAGTCAAACAAAGTTGAGTTTTTTCGGTTGCTCATACTTCGTTCATTGCAAAGAAAGAAGATTTATCATCACAATTTGGCATAATTTATAAAGTATTTTTCAACGTGATTTTGTTTGTAAAAAAAACTTTCTTGCTGAAAGTGAGATGTCTAATCACATTTGTCATATTGGTCAATATGTATATCTATTATGTACCAGGATATCATCCTAACCAGCAGATTAGACAGTGACATATATGTGCTATAAACAAGTTATTTTTATCTTTCCCCTTCCAGTTTGAATTATCATACCTTATCATACATTCAACAGCAGCAGTCATCATTCACGCAGTCGTCATTTGCGCAGTCTTACGCATGACGAAATTTATTGCATTGGATTACCGATATATATGAAAGTTTTTTCAAGTCTCTATACATATATTAATTAAAAAAAGGGATAAAAATATATAACGTAGATTTTTCGACTGTGATTTTGCGCCGAAAGAAATATTAATGTTATAAATTATACCCAGTAAACTTTATACTATACTGGAATTCTTGGCCGCTTACCGCAGCTACGAAGAGACAAAAGGTAGGTAAGTCGTTTCTTTAAGTTAATTAAGTTAGTTTCTTTCTTTCTTCGTCTAGTAATTTTCGATTAGCCAATAATTTTTTTTAATCTTTTCAAACATCAGACTTTGTCACTTAATAAATTGTATTAGGAGTGTGATTATCATATATATTATACTAAGGCAAAGATAAATTTAAACACATAATGTACATGCACAAAGAATTTAAATGTATATTTTACTTTTTCTATTTTGTAACTTACGGAATAAAGCATACTAACAAAACATGGATTAAATCATGTTATAAAGAACATTGGTTTGTTTGTACAAGTTGTTAGTATATATTTTGACATACATAAGCATTTTTGAAAAAATAAAATTAAATCTTTCAATATATTATATAAATTTTTCAATACATTATTATAATTTTATCTATCTATGTTCTCAAATCTCATTTATTGTATATTTTTAATTGTTGGGTTGTGTGTATGTATATATATTGACTGTAGAGTCTCAGAAATATTATTGTTTAATTATCTATTTCAATAAAAATTTTATTTAATTATTTTATGTATTATATTACAAGTGATGAGAAATTTTGAGCAAATTTGCTCAATCTACCTTATCATTCATAAAAAATTATATTAAACAATTATTTTATTTATCTGCATTCTCTTCTAATATATTTTTATTAATTACAGAAGTTGTGCGGACCTGATGAATGTGATATTTTAAATAAGTTGTTGTCAGTTCGAATAGTTATACGAGAGACTATATGTAATAGAAAAAGAGATACAGATAGTACTTTTCTTTTGTCTCAATCGGTCCGTTTTTTTCCCATTTAAACAAGCATAATAAAGAGTTCACTGGATACATAGAGAAAATTGATCTGAAAGTTTTAGCTTAAAGAAGTAACAAAAACGACTCGAATTTTCATAAGAAGGAAAAGGATACGAGTATAATTAACAATTAACTAGAAGTATATCCTCAACTTTATCATCTTTTTTTCTTTTCTGATCAGAAACATAAGCAAGGTTAGTGTGTACATAGTGTGTAGGAGTGTGTAAATATGAATTTTTAAAAAAGCAAACAAAAAAAATATTATTATTAATCCTTATAAATACTCGCTTACGTGTAAGTTATCCGCGAATATTTCGGCAAGCCTTTTGATAGCTGAACCCTTAATTCATTCTAAAATAACTTCTTCTGGATTGTAAATGATTGATTAAGTCGTAAAAAATCAGTTTTCTTTCTTTCAACACTATAAATTTAATTTAAAATTATTAATTATAATAATTAATTTAATTCTTAATATTTCTAATTTGCATTCGCGATTCTCAAAATAATTTAACATCTATGTTACACATCTTCAATTTAATATTTCTATATTAATATTTATTTTTAAAATTCACAGTTTGTCACACACACAAGTGTCAATATTACTTATAAGTTTAATTTTTTTCCAGACAACATAATGGACTTCAGAGGCGAAGGTTCGTCAACTCACAAAAGATCTTCACCATCTCGAAGATTATCCACAACAGAAGAAAAAATTCCTCAGTCGAATATCTATTCTCCAATCAGCATGCAAGATGATCTTTACAAGCTTGAGTTAAACGCCGAACAATTTGAAGATTTCTCCTCTTTCAAAAATGCTGTTAAGGATAATTTGAAGAAACATCCACCTCTTCAAAGTATCTACATTAATCCCACACATTTGAAAGAAACATGTCTCGACATAGCCAGCAAGAATGGTTTAACGGAGTTCGTGAATTTTCTGTTGCGTAATGGCGCGAATCCCAATAAAATAAACGATGCGCAACACCGCGCTCCTATTCATTTCGCTACCGAAGGTGGACACGCAGACACGTTAGAAGCTTTATTAGAGCATCCAAAGATAAATCCGAATCTACAAGTAGAAGGCCGAACTGCCTTGCACATCGCAGTGGAGAATACCGATCTGACGTGTGCCCGTCTGTTACTCGAAAGAGGAGCTAGTGCCAATATTCCCGATAGCGAAGGTCGTACTGCTCTCCAGCTGGCAACGACGACGAACCAATGGGACATGGTAGCGTTGATAATACAGAAGTGTACACAATTTCTGAGCCTGGACGAATATGAAGCAAACGGTGATCGAACGTTACGAGAAGTGATTCAACAGACAATGCCGGAACTAGCATTACCACCGATACCTGAAGATACGCAAGAGGTACTCTTGCAAGATCTCAAGAACTACTTGAGCGTCAATGACGAGGAGAATTTTATGAAAAATATAACACTCCTCCACAAAGAATTTCCTCACGAGGTGGTCGAGGATTTATTAAAAATAGCAGCAGAACGTGATTTTCACAAAGCTGTTAGGGCAATTAAAAAGCAGTATACAGAGAAGTCCTATAGAAGCACGTTCATATTATCGGAAGCCATAAGCACAGCTTTTCGCGAGGGTTATTGTGATACTCTTCGTGAATTATTGGACATTGGATCATTGGAGCCTGAGGTAGCCAACGATTTGATTTTAAGCGCCTGCACGAAGTTGAAAATGCTGAAATTTGATGCTGCATCCAATCATCTCGAATGTCTAAAGTTAATTCTGGAGACGAGAGGAGTAAGTGTCCGTTTCCCCGACAGTAAGTATATACAATATTTCTATTTTTAGATTTGGTTTTCTTTCCGAACATCTCACAAAAATTTCTTCTTGTTATTGATTTTATAGGTCAAGGCAATACGCCGTTGCATTATGCAGCTAGAGAAAGCTGTCGCGAAGCGATAACTCTGTTTCTCAAACATGGCAGTTGCATCGGTTACATGAATAGATTCAATGAACCACCGATAGCACAAATTCCGACGAACACGCTATTGGAGCATTTTGACAACTGTGTGCAGCTCAAGGATGAGTCTGAGTTAGAGTTTAATTATCGCTGTCTGATGCCACACGAAACTGGTACAATGACTTGTGAAATGGAAACATTCATGTATATTGCTCGTGATGAAAATCTCAAACATCTGCTAAAACATCCGTTACTCTCGTCTTTTCTCTATATCAAATGGTATAGAATACGGTATTTCTTGTATGCGAATTTTATTTTTTATTTTATCTTTTATTTATTGTTAAATGCCTACATCCTGTGTATGACTTACGACACGCGAAAGGAAAATGGAACGCAAATTATTGGTAACGATAGCTCTCAGGTAGTTCCGAAAAATAGCATGAAAACCGCTTGTTACAGCCTTTTCTGGCCCGTCATAGTGATGCTACCGCTCTTTATTTTCCGGGAGATCCTCCAATTGGCTTTCTGTCCTCGGCGCTATTTCACGGACTTGAGAAACTGGTTGCAGATCATGCTAATCACGTTAATCGTCATTGTGCTATGTAATGCGAGTATCGAGATCGGAACTATGGTGATCTTACTGTCCGCCTGGGAGCTGGTGACCCAGATCGGTCATGATCCGCGCATGTCCACCAGCGTCGAGATGTTCCGAACGGTCTCCTTCAATTTCATGCGCTTTCTCTCCCCATACTTGTTTCTTATCTTTGCATTTGCCCTGATTTTTTACACTTTCTTCAACGAAAACGAGAACCTACAATTCTCCGATCCCGCTTGCTCGTTTTTCCAAACCATTATTATGCTAACTGGCGAGTTCAACGCCAATGATCTGTTCAACGATAATAATCTGATCCTTTCGTACCCCGTTTCTAGTCGCATCGCTTTCGTGCTATTTATTTTTCTCATCGTTATCGTGTTGCGTAATCTACTCAACGGCTTGGCAGTCAGTGATATCACCGAGATCTTGAGCACGGCTGAGTTGGTTGGTCTTATCTCCCGGATACGCCTAATTGCCTATTTCGAGGATATGATGATCGGCAATCCGTTTAAATTTAAATGCCTGCGACGTAATCCTTTCAGCTTCCTCACCAGGAGAATATTTCTGTTTTCGGATGATATAGAAGACGGCATTATTCACTTCATGTATGGCCGCAACAATATGTATTACATGCATCAGAAATTCGGTGCTTTTAAAATAGATTCAAATATAATAAAAAATATTAAACAAACGACCTTAAATAAGAATCAAATGTCAAGCAAGAAAAGCATGATGATCACGTTGAAGAAGCTACAAGAAGAATTGACGGCGATCGAAAACACTTTAAATAATGCCCAAGTTTAAAACTTGACTTTATAAGATAATTTATTTTTTTTACTGATAGCTTTATTGCAAATTTTACAATCATTTCTTTCTGCTTTCTCCCGTTTTTCATGTTATACGGTTAATGATTATAAAATCTTAGCTTTTGTAATATATCTTACATGATCATATCACTTTTACCTTCCTCTTAATTTCCTTTGGCGATCGAAGGATGCCATGTCACATCCAAAGTGTACACATAGGCTCTTGCTATGACCCGTAACTGCATCTTTTGTATTTTTCATTATTTTTAACTTTTCCTTATTCTCAATTTGTTATTTTGGTTTATTTATTATCTTTATTTCTAGAGAATATAATAGTATAATTTATACATACAACTGTTATTATTTTAAATGAAATTGTTACAGCCATGTGATATTAGATTTTTATGACAAAATTAAAAAATTTGTATATGTATATATGCATATAAAATGGACCAAATAAAGTGTTAGAACTAAATAACTATAGAACTGATCAATGAATTGTAAGTCAAAGTTCTTATTAGCCAATTTTGTCGACAGAAAATGAGCTATTACTCGAGCTAAAATTTATTTACCAGGAACCCCTTCCCCTCTGAAGGGCAGTAAAGATAAACTTTATTATTTTTTTAATGGCATTCCATCCAAATTTTAACGTCAGTCGATTTTATGCGAAAAAATAAATAATTTTTACTTAAAAATTTTTTTTCTAAAATTGTGATATTAAAAGTTACTATTTAGTGAAAGTAACCACCTTTGAATGAAAGTGAAACAAAAAATTATAAATTTAAAGTTTTTGAATTTATTTTAATAAGTATAGCTCTTCTCAGTGACCCTTTCGAACGAAATTGATCGAAATGCAGAACGGTATTTGCTCGAAACACTAGTAAGAAATACTAGCAACATAAGAATATAAACAGAATAGAATCAAGAATAATATAACAATCAAACTGCACATCTTTCTTTAATTTGCGGAATATAACGTTCATCAACGAAACAAAGTTTGAACCATGTCAAATCAAGCCGACGTGATAGCGTCGCTCACAATAAGTACACAAAACTCGAGTTTCACGATAGATAACCTCTCTTTTTTTTTTTTTAAATAAACCGTACCGAGCGATAAGTACTATGTATGATCATTGCTATAAATATGTTATTTTTCTTTCCCCTTCCTATCAATTTCATCACTTATCATTCGCTCTACTTCGACGCTTATTCACGCGTCATTCGTGTAGTCTCACACGTATCGAAATCTGCTGCAGAAATATTATTGTATAAAAGTTCAACTCTCTATGCATATATTAATTAAAAAATGGATAAAAATATATAACGTAGATTTGTCGACTGTGATTTTGCGCCGAAAGATATATTAATGTTATAAATTATACCCAGTAAACTTTATACTATACTGGAATTCTTGGCCGCTTACCGCAGCTACGAAGAGATAAAAGGTAGGTAAGTTGTTTCTTTAAGTTAATTAAGTTAGTTTCTTTCTTTCTTTGTCTAGTAATTTTTGATTAGCCAATAATTTTTTTTAATCTTTTCAAACATCGGACTTTATTTACTATCATATATATTATACTAAGGCAAAGATAAATTCAAACACATAATATACATGCACAAAGAATTTAAATGTATATTTTACTTTTTCTATTTTGTAACTTACGGAATAAAGCATACTAACAAAACATGGATTAAATCATGTTATAAAGAACATTGGTTTGTTTGTACAAGTTGTTAGTATATATTTTGACATACATAAGCATTTTTGAAAAATAAAATTAAATTTTTTAATATATTATATAATTTTTTCAATATATTATTATAAATGTTATATTTTATCTATCTATGTTTTCTAATCTCATTTAGTGTATATTTTTAATTGTTGGATTGTGTGTGTGTATATATGTATAAATTGACTGTAGAGTTTCAGAAATATTATTGTTTAATTTTCTATTTTAATAAAAATTTTATTTTATGTATTATATTACAAGTGATAAAAAATTTTGAATAAATTAGCTCAATCTACCTTATTATTCATAACAAATTATATTAAAACAATTATTTTATATTAATCTGTATTCTCTTCTAATATATTTTTATTAATTACGCTGTACTACTTCCAGACCTAGGGCAGGCAGTATAATAAATTGTTGCACTGAGTACCGTTGCACTGCTAAAAAGGACAGCAGCATCACTTCTGCTAAAAAAAACGCTTTAGTGTACTTCTTGAACTAGTGCAGTTTAGCTAAAAAGAACCTAATATCAGAAACCGATTACTATACGAGTTCGCGGTATTGTATATGGGAGTTTCTCCAAAGACCGTAACCATGGGACAATGTGTCGAACGAGGCGACGTTTCACGTTTGCCAATAATTCCGAGAGTAACGGCGAAGAAACCCATCACACGCCAAGACTTGATCATCGATGAAGATCAACCGGAAGAAATGATAGAAGAATTGGTCTCCATTATGAACGAGTACCGCGACTGTGTTGCAATCAATCTGTCGGAGTTGGGCTTAGCGACAAACATTGTTATGGACATTAAGGAATTACCAGGTAGTAAATCGGTAGTATCAAGCTAGCAATTCTGAGCGAGAGGAAATAAGTCGAATTATTCGAGATGAGTGGCGCGGAGCGGGTATAGTGCGAGATACAGATTCTCCTTATGCGAGTCCTGTACTATTGGTACGTAAGATAAGTGGTGAATCACGCCTTGTTGTAAATCTCCGTAAACGTAAACTCAACCGACAAACCGTACGAGTGCCTTTTCCTATGCCTGATCCGGATGATTATTTGGAACAAGTTAGAGATTGTGATCTCTTTATTACTCTTGATCTAGCACATGGGTATTTGCAAATTTCGTTGACCGAGGAGGCAATGCCAAAAACTGCGATCATTATGCCAGACAAAACTGTAGAGTGCAGTACGCGAATGATTTTCGGGTTGTTGAATGGGCCTGCGTATTTCACTAAATCGATGGATAGAACATTAGGACCACTTCGAGGACGGGTGATATTGTATTATCTAGACGATATATTTATACCGGGACGCAATTGGCCAGACTTACGTGAAAGATTAGTGTTGACGCTAAAAGCGTTGCGAGAGGCAGGATTGACTATTAAATTAAGTAAATGTAGGTTTCTCCAGAAACGAGTTAGTTATTTAGGGTTTGAAATATCGAACGAGGGTATTGAGCCGGGAGAGTCGACGGTGAAAGTGATTATAGAATATCCGATAGAATACCGATAAAAGCGTATGAGGCGCGACGATTCATTGGCATGGCTAGCTTCTTTAGGCGCATTATCCCGAAGTTCGTACAAATAGCTGCACCACTGCATAAGTTACTAAAAAGCAAAGCAAAGTTTAAGTGGTGCGAAAATGAACAACGAGCGTTTGATAAATTAAAATAGATGTTGTCGAATAAACCGATTTTGCAATCATTCGATCCCAGACGACAAACCGAGCTACATACCGATCCCAGCGCTTTGGGACTAGCGGCAATGATGTTCCAGCGTGATGAGCAAAAACGTTTACGATTAGTTTATGCGATTAGTCGGCGAACGAGTAAACCTGAGAAAAATTATCATTTCAGTAAATTAAAACTTCTAGCGATCGTTTGGGCGGTTACGTGACTGAGAACAATGATAATTAATATACCATTTACCATAGTTATCGATTACCAGGCACTGTTGTATCTAAGTACCCAGAAAAGCAACAGAGAGTGAAGGAGAGATATTTATGATTGAAATCGCGTGAAGAATATCCGATACAACGTAGGAGATATAGTTTACATGAGAGTTGGTCCAATCGCTACCGGCGAGAGCACTAAGCTTCAGCGAAAGTATCGAAAATCGCTGACAGTCACACAAATGTTACTCCAAGCCACCTACAAAGTAGCTGACCTGCGACAGGAAGAACCGGGTCGACGTTATGCATCGACTGCCCATGCGAGTCAACTGAAGATTTGGCGACTACATGAGGAAGACAAATATATTGAGACATTTATAGACATTTATATTTTATTATAGATATTTATATTGAGACTCTAGTTTTCGTGTGTTGATTAAATACCGAATCGGGAATTCCTACGAGCCACCGACGAATCATCCGCGATAAAGTTTCGAGTAATACCGCGAGACTGACAATGAGTAAAAATACCGCGAGTGTTTATAGCAGTTAACAAACTATAATAGTTAATCTAACTTTTAATATTTTTAATTCGCATTCGCGGTTCTCAAAATAATTTAACATCTATGTGTTACACATCTTCAATATTTAATATTCCTATATTAATATTTATTTTTAAAATTCACTGTCACACACACAAGTTTCAATATTATAAGTTCAATTTTTTTCAGACAACATAATGGACTTCAGAAACAAAGGTTCGTCAATTCACAGAAGATCTTCACTATCTCGAAGATTATCCACAACAAAAGAAAGAATTATTCAGTCGAATATTTATTCTCCAATCAGCATGCAAGATGATCTTTACAAGCTTGAGTTAAACGCCGAACAATTTGAAGATTTCTCTTTTTTCAAAAATGCTATCAAGGATAATTTGAAGAAGCATGCACCTCTTCAAAGTATCTACATTAATCCCACATATTTGAAAGAAACATGTCTCGACATAGCCAGCAAAAATGGTTTAACGGAGTTCGTGAATTTTCTGTTGCGTAATGGCGCAAATCCCAATAAAATAAACGACGCGCAACATCGCGCTCCTATTCATTTCGCTACCGAAGGTGGACACGCAGACACGTTAGAAGCTTTATTTCAGCATCCGAAGATAAATCCGAATCTACAAGTTGAAGGCCGAACTGCCTTGCACATCGCAGTGGAGAATATCGATCTGAAGTGTGCCCGTCTGTTACTCGAAAGAGGGGCTGGTGCCAATATTCCCGATAGCGAAGGTCGTACTGCTCTCCAGCTGGCAACAACGACGAACCAATGGGATATGGTAGCGTTGATAGTACAGAAATGTCTACAATTTCTGAATTTGGACGAATATAAAGCAAACGGTGATCAAACGTTACGAGAAGTGATTCAACAGACAAGGCCGGAACTAGCATTGCCACCGATACCTGAAGATACGCAAGAGGTACTCTTGCAAGATCTCAAGAACTACTTGAGCGTCAATGATGAGGACAATTTTATGAAAAATATAATACTCCTCCGCAAAGAATTTCCTCACGAGATGGTCGAGGATTTATTAAAAATAGCAGCAGAACGTGATTTTCACAAAGCTGTTAGGGCAATTAAAAAGCAATATACAAAGAAGTCCTATAGAAGCACGTTCATATTATCGGAAGCCATAAGCATAGCTTTTCGCGGGGGTTATTGTGATACTCTTCGTGAATTATTGGACATTGGATCATTGAAGCCTGACGTAGCCAACGATTTAATTTTAAGTGCCTGCACGAAGTTAAAAATACTGAAATTCGATGCTGCATCCAATCATCTCGAATGTCTGAAGTTAATTTTGGAGACGAGAGGAGTAAGTGTCCGTTTCCCTGACAGTAAGTTTCTATCTTTAGATTTGGTTTTTCTTCCCGACATCTCACAAAAATTTCTTCTTGTTATAAATTTTGATTTTATAGGTCAAGGCAATACGCCGTTGCATTATGCAGCTAGAGAAGGTTGTCGCGAAGCGATAACTCTGTTTCTCAAACATGGCAGTTGCATCGGTTACATGAATAGATTCAATGAACCACCGATAGCACAAATTCCGACGAATATGCTATTGGAGCACTTTGACAACTGTGTGCGGCTTAAAGATAAGTCTGAGTTAGAGTTTGATTATCGCTGTCTGATGCCACACGAAACTGGTACAATGACTTGCGAAATGGAAACATTTATGTATATTACTCGTGAGGAAAATCTCAAACATCTGCTAAAACATCCGTTACTCTCGTCTTTTCTTTATATCAAATGGTATAGAATACGGTATTTTTTGTATGCGAATTTCTTTTTTTATTTTATTTTTTATTTATTGTTAAATACCTACATCCTGTGTATGACTTACGACACGCGAAAGGAAAATAGAACGCAAATTGGTAACAATAGCTCTCATGTGGTTACGGAAAATAGCGTGAAAACCGCTTGTCACCAGGACAGCCTTTTCTGGGCTTTCATAATGATGCTATCGCTCTTTATTTTTCGGGAGATCCTCCAGTTGGCTTTCTGTCCTCGGCGCTATCTCACGGACTTGAGAAACTGGTTGCAGATCATGTTAATCACATTAATCTTTATTGTGCTATATAATGCGAGTATCGAGATCGGAACTATGGTGATCTTACTGTCCGCCTGGGAGCTAGTAATCCTGATCGGTCATCATCCGCGCATGTCTATCGGCGTCGAGATGTTCCGAACGGTCTCCTTCAATTTCGTACGCTTTCTTTCCCCATACTTGTTTCTGATCTTCGCATTTGCCTTGATTTTTTACACGTTCTTCAACGAGGACACACATTTCTCCAATATCGCTCGCGCGTTCTTCCAAACCATTATTATGTCAACTAGCGAGTTTAACGCCGATAATATTCCATTCCTTTCGCATCCCGTTTGGAGTCGCTTCGCTTTCGTGCTATTTATTTTTCTCATCCCCATCGTGTTGCTTAATTTGCTTAACGGCTTGGCAGTCAGTGATATCACCGAGATCTTGAGCACGGCTGAGTTGGTTGGTCTTATCTCCCGGATACG